ATCCTAAATTTTACAAATGCTAATGCACAATAAGTTTGTTGAACCTCCAAGAATATAATCCAGCACTGTACGGTAGTCCTTTGTATCAACAAAACTTGGTGAGAATCATGGATTTTTTAAAATTTATCTGTAAAGGATGCTTTGCACTTTGTAAGTCAAAACCCCATTACAGTGTATCCTGTTACAATGAAAATCTTTTACTTAATCTGGAAGCTCACTCAATTATTTTGAGCACTATATACAACCCAACAGATACAATGTAATTTTTGACAACTCTTTAAAATGTTGTAGCTAAATTAGAGTAATTGGATAATGTAGACAATGAATCAAATAATTTACTCTCATACTGTGCTCAATATTAGATGACATATAAAATTCAATTGAGAGCCCAGCCAGTGTGGCTCAGTGGTTGAGGGTTGACCTATGAATCAGAAGATCACAGTTCAATTCTGGTCAGGGCACATGGGGATGTGGGCTCCATACCCAGTGGGAGGTGTGCAAGAGGTAGCCATTTAATGATTCTCATCATTGATATTTCTCTCTCTCCCTTCCTCTCTGGAATCAATAAATATATTTTTAAAATTCAATTAGGAAAGGGAGTTCAAAAGAACCGTGCTTCTTCCTTGAATCAGACTTGGATAAACATTAGATGAGGGTAAACCCTAGGTGGGAAAGTATTTAATTAATTGTGCTTATATAGTTTTCTTGCTACCTATTCCTAATTATAAACTTTAAATCTGTGCATTTGGGTACTATTTGTTTTATCTCAAGTATAACATAATACTAGGCAGTCTTTAAAATCATTTGCTATTAACTGTAAAAAGTATACTAAGATAAGAACTCTGGAGAGCACTTGTGATCTTGATCTCCAGCATGTAATCAATTTGGTTCAAAAAAATTCTTATAAAAAAACAACTCTAAAATCATTTTCTTTTAGAAGGCATAAAATATCCAGGGAATTTTTATTTTTAAAGAAAAAAATCAAATAAGACATCGCTTTCATTGACCCAAACATGCATAATCCATCCTTAATATAAAATGCACTCAATTGGAAAATTACACATGAAATACAAAGGGAATGCAACTTTACATATGTAAAATGATTGCTAGCCATAGTAATTTAACAGTCAAATTAATAGACATTGTACATTAAAAGACACCACCACCATCTAAAGTCAATTATTTATGATACACCAAGGGAAATTCTGATATGGAATGGTTTGACTCAAAGCAAAGAATAAGGCACCTGCTATAAACTTAGAACAATAACTTTCATTTTAAAAGTTACAATAAAATTAACCAAGATACAAGAGGCAAACAAGTATAGGAGTTGACTTCCTGGGTGAGAAAGGCAGGTAACAATGAAGATAAAACCTGCTGCCCCCAGGTCAGTTGATTCTTTTCCTATTCTATAGTCAAATTCCTGACAATCCTTACCACCCCCCTCCCTCACTCTCTCCCATTCCTTGGGGCATCAGAAGCTCTCTCTGAGGTTCACACTAAGTATAGACAAGGTAGTCGATTTCCCTTTCTGTTCCTCTTAAAACAGCTTATTTTAAAAGAAATATCCTGAGGCAATTAAACAAAGCAAACAAGCAGCTTTCTTTCCAATTAACAGACATCTCTCAGGCTTTTTTTCATCAAGTTATGGCTAAGTACTTAAATAGCCAATAATTTGTTTTTAACAGTACCAGAAAACCCCAAATCTGCCTTCTTACTCACCCTTACTATTATTACAATGGAAGTCTGATCATAACCTATAAAATTACACAACAAAGGGAAAACTAAGGACTGATCCCTTATCAGTATATCCATTTAATTCCAGATGATACATTAGTCTGATATATCTAGAAACTGAACAATTTTAATCATAAATCTAGAAAAAGCATTTACAAACCAGGTGTAACTTTTTAGTTTGTGCCTTTTTGATGCTAAAAATGCTAATAACATGCTAAGATGTCTTATGGCACATTGGGCTCAACAGTATGTTCTGATGAGGCATCCACTTTTAGTAGTATTTTCCCCCTTGGACGCTGTCTACCATAGTAGACCCTTTGATACACTAAAGTAATTCTGATGAAATCATTGGTGAGATAAACAAACCTTCCCTGACTTTACTCCACCATGATTGCTTTTAGTGAAACTGAAGTGACTAAGTTACAAAATGCTCAACCAAGTTGTTTTCTTATGATATCTCAGATTAGTATATTCACTCATGCAAAATCCAAGGTAGTGTAACAGAAATAATATTAAAGTAAACATGGCTATAAGCATCTTTTACATTAGGCATTTAGAAGCTTTTATAATTTCCTAGGTGCTATAGATTGTGGGAAAACTAGGCTAACTGTATGGTTGTTCCATTTATAAGCACCTTATTACAGCACAGGTCCATGACCCTGTATGGGAATGTGCTTTCAATTCAAGATATTGTAATAAGTGCCTAGCTATATAAAAACCATAAGATTCCAAATTTTAAATTAAGCTAACTGCATGTACTCATTAGGGTTAACAAAATCTAGACCCTGTCCACACAGACTTAATCTAATTACCTATACTGTATACTGTTTTAATAACCACATTTAAAAACTTACTCTTTAATGACTGAATAAGTAGGGTTCACTAATGTAGCTTAACAATCAAAATTTTATTGCTTTATTCATGTGGTGCTTTTGCAAGGCACTGTGGTATGGACTAGAAAATTTGGAATGACTTGTGAAAAAACCTTGGAATGACACATGAATGATGATATGAAAAATAATTCGGAGACAGGATGATTTACTGAATTGTTTTTAACCAGGGTATCAAACATCGGGAATGAGTTCAAGTTAAAATTCACAGGAGAATGGAAACATCTTAAGGTCAGTCTCTTCACATGCCCATCCTGATACTTTGAATAATCTGGAAAATTGCTGTAAAGAGAAAGAGCAAATATTAAAACATGCTTTGAATAAGTTGGTCTGGCAAGGAGCAAATATTAAGGCTGGGAACCCTTAAATAATAACTTGCAAATGCTACGTAACTTCATTGTAATAGTGAAGACAAGCTTACCATAATAAAACAAATGTTCAGAAGTTATTTTTAAAAATTTCAGTTTCTGAATGTTATATTTTAATGTCCCAGAGAGCTTAGCAATAGCAATCATTTTAGAAAGGATTTAAAGTACCAAAGCAAACAGGTTTTTCAAGCACAGAATTATTTTGGTTTATCATTAAATATTACATGTCCCCTGAAGGCCTGGCCTATAACGTGCATGTTTCCTCATTCTCACAAGGCTGAAATCCAATCATCTTTAGGTTATATAAATTGCTTGGCTCTTGGCCATCTATCAGGAAAGCTTCCAACTGGTAAGTTTAGGAGACAAACAAAATAAAATGTTTAAAAGAAACCTAATAAAGTTAGAATGTCAAAATTTGAAATGCAGAAACATGTGCTTCAATATCAACAGCTTATATAAGAAAACAAATATTCTGTAATATATTTGCAGAGGCATGAGTCTATAACAGCAGGCTGCCCTGATAACGAATTTTTCTACCATATGTCAAATGTTTCTTTTATTAACCTAAAACCATTTGTCACATATTAAATTGCCACGTTTCTTTTATAGTGAAGCAGTTATTTGCACTAGCTTTACCCTTAACTATACCCAGCTTTTGACATAATGTTAGCTTCTGGGATATGTTAAATTAAGTTAGAAATCCATATGTACATAATGTTCAAGAGTTTTGTTTTTTGTCTTTTTTTTGCAAAGGTATTGATAATGGAATTGCAAAACATCCTATTTCCTTCTGAGATGTTTTGCTTTTTGTCTTGGTCTACATTTCTAACAGCTTGATCATTACTAGGAACCCGACGACCTCCTTTTCTAATATCCTGTGGGCACAGTCAAGCTGGGAGAAGTTTCTGGAGCACCACCCTCTGTGCATATGTGGGACAAGGAAATTTGTTCAGATGAAAGAGAATTGTGTGGAGCTCGTGGCAGGTGGGTTGAGAACTACGAGATTCGACTCACCACTGAGAGGTCACCACGTCATCCTAAACCCGTCACCCAACATCCCGCCCGACCGCGGCCCCCGAAGCACTTACCAGAACCACAAACAACAAAAATGAAGAGAGCCAATAACCAGGGTCCTACAGAGGCCTTCTCTTCGGGAGCATTTCTCTGCAAAAAGGAAAACCCACCGTTTCAAATGCAAAAAGCCGCTGCGACCCAGGACTCCCACAGCATGCTCTCCGGCGGAGTCTCTCCTCCGTTCCCGAGCCGCCAGCTCCCGCACCCCCTCCCCGAACCCCCAACTGAGTGTCCAGCTCGCGCCTCGGCCCCGCAGCCGGCCGGGTCCGGGGCGGACACGACGTGGCCCCAGCCTGCAGCACCAAGGCGCGTCCGCGCTTCCTTACCGAGGTCTTGGCTACGTTGCCGCGCTGCGTGATGTTCTTGCTGTGCTTCTCGTTAGCCATACGGATCCGCTGTTTGGCGACCATCTTCGCGGCGCCACCACTACCCCAAACCACCCCTCGGCCTCGCTCGCTCCCCCTCGGACCGCTGCGACGCCCCGCTCCCGGTGCCGCCGCGGGAACGGGAGGCTCAGGCGGGCGCTAGGTCGGGCCGGAGGGCGGCGGCGCGGTGCTGAGCGCCGCAGGCGGGGGGCGCCGGCCGCCGGGGAGCCGGGGCGCCGGCGAGCGAGGCTGGAGCGCGGGAGGGCGGCAGGACCGGAGCAGCTCGCACCGCCGCCGCCGGGAGCGTGGACTGAAAGAGGAAGAAATGAAACAAGTGGCCTCGTAACCCGTCAGCTCTACTTGGGTTCGGCTGCCAACGTCAGCACTGGGAGAACTCCGCCCCGCGGAAGTGCGGGCCCCGCCGGCAGAGGGGGAGGGAGGGGAAGGCGGGCGCAGGGGCCCTGGCCCAGCCCTCCCCAGCTCTGTAAAATGTGTCCCTCCCACCCTCCCCCGGCGGTGCGCGTGCGCCTCGCGGTTCCTTCGCTGCTACAGCCTCTAACGGAAGTGATTGGCCCGGAGGCTGGTGACTCCGGAAATACTAAGCTGCCGGGCCCACGCCGGAGTGGACGTGTAGGGGCCGGGTTTGGCCCTCGTGAACTCTGACCCGAGTGCATAGGTTTCTCTTTCCGGGACGAGATGGCGCCGTACACGCCGCTTTTAACAGGTGAGTTCTGAACGAGCAAGGGTCTGTTCCTTCAGAGCAGTTTATTTTTTTGTGTCTTTGTTCTGGGGCTTGGAGTCCGATCGGCCTTTTCTTGTAGATTGCGGAAGAGCCGGAGGGACCTTTGGTTTTTTTCTTGTTGCGTGGCAATCGGAAGTGAAGTCCCCGCCTCTGCGCTTTTGAGTTTCCTTTCCCTTTTGCCTATCATCCTTTCCTGCCGTTACAAGTTCTGCCGGATTAGAAGAAGGGTGATAAGAACCGAAAATGCTAGTTGAATTTGTTACCGTGGGTTTGCAAAACTTAATATTGTAGGCTTTGTTGACTGTGAAAGCTAAATAGCTTTATAGACACGTGACTAAGTCCACTAGAATGACCACACATGAAGAACACGTGAATTAAAGTAATACCAAGTTTTGTACTCCTTGCTTTGATGAAATTTGTAGGACTTGAAAGAGTGGAACTGTGGCAGTACATGTGGTCTGGGATGATAGTGAGCATTATAGAGATAATATAGCAATGTTTGGTGTTGAAATTATTATGAGCTTTTTAGCATTATAATAGAGGATTCCTGAGATTTTGAAGCTGAGGCAGAGTTTATAATGTTGGAGGAGATAATAAACTTAGTATCAGACAGTGTGGGGAAGATTCTGGACTAAGGTAATGGCTGGAAGTCTCATGTGAGCATCAAATAAGTAGGGGACAATTGGGGGTGGGGGAGGCTTAATAACTTATGTAGAAGGAAAAGAAAGTCATTAAAAGACAGGATGTTTACTTTTGTGGAAAAGTATTATTTGCTCCTGAGACTAGAAAGAAACCTTTTTCGTTTTTGCATTCTTCTACATTTTAAGATCTACATCAAGCATATCAAACTCAAAGGCTAACATGGGCCAAATAAACAAGGTTTAAATTTATGTGGGGAAAAAAAAACACACACACACACACAAAAGCTTCAATTTTCATAGAAACAGAGATATGCTGAATACAAAGGGCTGAAATGAATGAGTAATGGTTAACATAAGATAATAGAACATTTTAATAGAAAGTAATGTTTTTTTTCTTGAACATTAACTTACCGGACACCGAATAACTGCACAAATTAATAAGTGTAACGCAAATAAACCTATTTTTCTTGTTCTCCAAAAGCGAAATATTTCCTGTTGCAAACACCAAACAAGTCAATACAAGACTAATGACGTGGCAATCTGCTGCTAAAATACACACTGCTACTATTAGTGGAGAGAAATGGTGTGCTTGCATGTAAGGCGCTTAAGGGAAATGAATGCAACATGATTATAGTAATAAGTATAGTAATCAGTCATTAGTAAATGTAGTTTGTTACTAATAGAATATTGTAAAAATTAAGTAACGACATTTTTATTAAAATGTTTCTTACATACTGTTCTATTGTCTGGGCCACAAAAATATTCATTGTGGGCTACATGAGACCTGTGAGCTTCGAGTTTGACATGCTTGATCTACAATATACTACATTTTAAGATTTTTGTTATTATGCACTGTGCCCATTCACATTCAACCTGTCAACTATAGTTTATTCATCAAACATTTATCAAATACTGACTATAATTTGTTAGATAATATGCCAGGCAGATACTATTTAAAAGGCATAATTATATAATTAAACTAGAAGCCCGGTGCACAAATTTGTGCACGGATGGCGTTCCTCCACCTGGCCAATGATTGGGGTTGATCAGGGTTGAAAGAGGTTGGCCAGCCAGCCCTATCGGAGTGGGATGGCCAGAGGGACTGTATGAGGTTAGCTGTGGGAGTACACTTACCGCCAGGGGGAAGCTCCTGCATTGAGCGTCTGCCCCCTGGTTGTCAGTGCACATCAAGAATTCAGTCATTCAATTGCTTAGGCATATATATATATATTGTTTTTTTTCCTCTAGCTTTGTAAAGGTTAACTTGTATGCTATTCACAATTTTAGAATACTAAATGCTTAGGGGTGCTTATTTTAACATAGATCCACAGAAACAGTGGACAGGGATTGCTTAAGGCAGAGATAAACCTTTTACTAAAATGTTAAATGTCTGTACATGATCACCCACTATGACTTCCCAGTTAGCAATTTATGATCTGATCAACCTGTGAGATTACTGTCCATAGAAAAACTCTTTTTCATCCACATGATTAATCTTTAAACACTTATTAGATATTTTAGTTAACAATAGGTTATTTTACTTCCAGAATCTTTTAAAAACTTAGACTCACAGGATTTTTAGTTGTGAATAATTTAGAGATTATTCAGTACATTTTATTAGTCTGACTTAATTGGAAATGACAAAGGGATTTTTTTCCCCCCAGAAAACTTTATACAACCTTAAAGTTTCAGTATTGATGCATCTAGGTATTGGCATGACTCCAAAAATCTGTGTTTCTTCATCCCTGTGCTCTTGACTTCTTCATTGTTAAATTTATTCTGAGGCTAACATTCTACATGATAGCTCAAGGTCTACATTCAACTAAACCAGTAACCCCAAAGGAAAGAGCACATTGTTGCTAGTCACAAGGCTGGCTGTTTTTAGCTTGGCTTGGCTCTTGCTCCTCTTTGATTCAGCCATTTTTATATCAGATCACCAGGACCAAGTTATATTCTCACCCCTGGATAGTTTTCCAAGGAGAATTATAGTAATCTAAAAAGGGGGGATTGATAGAGGTTTCATGTTGTTTGGCTGCCAAACAACATGAAACACATATTGTCTAGTCGGCTTGCTTAATTGAGGCCATTGAGATAATTTATTTAAAATTAAGTCATTTTTTCTAAATTGTTATGTACTTCAATGAATGTAAAGGTTGAAAAGAGTATCCTAATAATAGAGTAATATGAAAATTGTCCAGGATGCTGTCACAGTAACAATAACGACCGAAAAGCAAGCTGTGTGGGGCAACCAGGCTAGCAGGAAGGATGACCAAACAACTAAATAGCAGGCTGTGTTGGGATGACCAGGCTGGCAGGGGGTCAGTGAGGGGTGACTAGGCCAGCAGGGGGAGGCAGTTGGGGGCAACCAAGCGGGCAGAGGGGGGCAGTTGGGGAAGACCAGGTCAGTTGGGAGGGACATTTGGGGATGACCAAGTTGGCAGGAGCAGGGAGAGAGAGGGGGAGGAGGAGGGGGAGTTAGGGGCATTCGGGCAAGCAAGCAGGTAAGCAGTTAAGAGCCAGCGGTCCTAGATTGTGAGAGGGACGTCCCTCGAGTGATCCCAGATTGGAGAGGGTGCAGGTTGGGCTGAGGGGACCCCTCCTCCCCCGTGCACAAGTTTCGTGCACCAAGCCTCTAGTCATGTATAATAATAAAAGTGTAATATGCAAATAGACCAAATGGCAGAACAGCGGAACGACCATCCGGTGACCATCCAGATGACCATGCTATGACACACACTGGCGCCAGGCCAGCCAAGGCAGGTGCAATGCAATTGATCAGGGGCCTGACCATTGCCCCATGATCACCCTGCAGAGGGTAGCCCAGGCCACTGGCCTGCAAGGTGATCAATAAATCGGGGGGGAGGGGGGGACGGGGACATCATGATTGCCCTAAACAGGGAGGCCCAGTCCACTGACCAGCGGGCTGAAGCAGGTGAGCAGTGCCTCCCTCTGCAGGGTGCAGTTGATCACCCCAAAGAGGAAGGTCCAGGCTACCCAGTGGTGCTGGCACTGCGGCAGGTGGGCAGGCCCCCCTTTTTGGGGCAGTTGATTGCGGGGCTCCTGGACTATGAGATGGCACAGGCTAGGCTGAGAGACACCCCACCACCTGTGTGTATTAATTTCACGCACCAGGCGCTAGTATTATAATAATCACCATATCCCTGCCATAGGACTTTTGTTAGTTGAAGCCCAGTAACTCAGAGCTAGAGCAATAAATTGTACATGTGTATCTGGAAAGGGTAGTAAGTTTTAAAAAATATGTATGTACAATATTTAATATAATTATTTTTAAATTGTTATTTTTTGTGAAACTGGCACTTATTTGTTTAATGAAAAAACTGTTTACATTCTCGATTTTTCTAGGTGGACATATTGCCACATTCTCTTTGATTGAAAAGGAAAATCATTAAAAATAAGAAATCTTACCAAGTCTCAATACATTTAGTTCCACATTCTATTCATTGTTTCAGTCACTTCTAATTATTGAAGATTTTTTTTGAATTTATTATTTTGCTTTTGTTAACTTGTAATACAGTTTATATTCTGTTACAATTCTTGATTTTGTGTTTCTTCTAATAAACGTTGTATATTCAAATTTGTGTAAAAAGTTGCTCAAAATGATTAAATTCAGTAAAGTATCTTTAGTGATACCAAAATCTCTTGCAGTGCTTTCTCATAGTTATGCTAATATGAAGGGAGGTGTGAAGTAAAATATTTGTTTTGAATAATGCTTATATGTAAGAACAAAACTGGAACAACTTTGTATGATTTTTGAGATGAATTCAATGGATAATTAGTCCCCCTAAAATAGGTATATCTATTATAAAGCATCATATACAAAGAAGGTTGTTTAATTTAGTGAGTTATTTTGTCTCATAGAATATGTTCTTTATCTTATTACAAAAATCTTGGTCTATTCAATTTTTTATTTTAACTTAAAATTTTTGAAGAACGTTGTAAAACTTTTAATTAGTTTAAGTTCTTGTTGTATTGTGAAAAGCATTACCAAAAAATATAGGCTTTTTGGAAACTGGTTTGGCTCAGTGGATAGAGCATCAGCCTGCGGACTGAAAGGTCCCAGGTTCGATTCCGGTCAAGGGCATGTACCTTGGTTGCAGGCACATCCCTGGGAGGGGGTGTGCAGGAGGCAGCTGGTCGATGTTTCTCTCTCATTGATGTTTCTAGCTCTCTATCCCTCTCCTTTCCTCTCTGTAAAAAATCAATAAAATATATTTTTAAAAATATATATGTAAGCTTTTTAGAGACCCTTTATTTTGATATAATTTAAATATAAGAAGGTGCAAAAACAGTAAATAGACTTTCCATGGACCCTTCACCTAG